AGCCGCGGGCTGGGCTAGCGCCGGCCCCGCCCCTTAACCCTGCGGCGCCGGGAGTCTGCGCGCCCGGGCCGCTCCGCTCCGCGCGGGGTGGGGTGGCTTCAGCTCCCCCCGAGGCCTCAGTCTCCGTCTCCTCGGGTCCCGGAGAGGCCTCCTGGTGTTCGAGTTGGAGGCTGGCCCTGGGCGTCGTTGACCTGGACTCTGGGAGAGGTTCCGGACCCGGGAAGGTCCCAGTTAAGGTCCCAGTTAGGCTCGGCCTCACAGACAGGTGGTACTAGGGCATCGGAGTCCTCGGGCTTCTGCTTCTGGCCGTAATTTCCTCATCAGTTGACTGTTTCCTAAAGTTGTTGCCAGAAGCGAAGGCACGGGTAGCTCTCCGCAGACAGAAGGCACTCAGTGCTCGTGGCAGGTTGTCGTTGTCGCCGCTGAGTGTCAACACTTTCCCCTCTGCTTATTTACTGGTTTGCTTCGTGTTCTGTAAAAAGAAGCGTCCCTCCTGGTCCATGCTGTTTATGGCTTTCGAATCCGCACCCGGTAAGTGCCGAGTCTGTGGGCCACAGCTGTTCTCCGCACAGCTGTCCTTCACAGGGCTTTGAGGGGGGTGGTGGCGTCTCAGATCCCGGTTTTACCGGAGAGAAAACAGACCTGGGGGAAGAAAAGCCCACAGAAGCTCTCACGGAGCAGTGGGCAGGGGTTGGCGCTTTCGCCACACTGTGCGCCCCGCGGCCCAATAGGTAATAACGAGGTGGGAGAATGTGGGTCTTTAGGCGAGGTGAGGTCTGTCTGCCCGGGAGGACACAACCGCCCCGTTGTGGGCTCGGAATGCTGCTCTGCACCTTTAAATCCGGACTTCGCTGGAGAGTCCCGTCCCTGAGGGGGCGTGGCTGGCCAGTCATTGGCTGAGCCGCGCAGTATTTTGGAACGTGTGCGCTGCAGTCCGGCTCTCCGATTGGAGGGAAGGCCTGCTCGTCTGCGTGCCTCCGGGGTCAGCGGCCGCCTGGGGCCTCGGCGTTCGGTTCCCGGGTCCTCCACCTTCCATTCTCAGGCAGGTCTGGCCATCAGGGCCCCGCGAACCCGCTGTGTCCTCCGGTGGGTGCGCTGACTCCGAGACGCAGGTACCCCCGGAGCGTAATGGGGCGGTCTCTGGGGTCCTCCAGCTTCGGGCGTGGCGCGCGCGTCCCAAACACCGAACGGGGGCGTGGCCCGCGGTCACGGCTGGGAAGGGAGGGAGGACTTTGGGCCCCAAGGTCTGAGTTCGAGCTCTGCCCTTCCCGTTTTTTGGGTGCCGCACTGGGTTTCCAGGGTCTCAGCGACCTCACTTTTGAGTGGGGCCGTAACAAGCCCCACTGTGGGCAGCTACGTGACCTGCTCAGCCCTAGCCCAGGACTGGAGGGTTTGCCAACCGGGAGGACTGGCGGCTTTTGGGCCTGGCTGCTCAGAGTGGGTTATTTTTAACTCCCCGCGCCCTCCCTACTTCCCGAATTGGAAGGCTCCGGCTGGGGCCTGTGCGACCCTGCAGGCCGAGTCCCAGTTTAGATAAGTGTTGGAATTAAAACGCTTTTACAGTTTGCAGTGAATTACTGGTCCTGCTGTGGGTGGCAGTGTTGATTCCCAAGGCTTGAATGGGGAACTAGAAACCAGCTGTGGGGTCGTGGTGGGTCACCTGGTTACCCTGTGACCTCACCGGGCCCCAGAGCTGGGTCTTATTTATAGTGTGGGGTAAGTGGGCAGGTGTCCAGGGCTGAGTCACACAGTGCTTCAGGCTTCAGCCATTCCAGGCATCTTGTCACCTGGCAGCTGGGCCACAGGCACCCAAAGTCCATCTGGGAGGTCAGAAGTCCTTGGTGCCCCAGTAGGCTGTGACCTCATGACTTGGTGGACTGGTCCTTGAGAGAGTTCTGCTTCTGCTTCTCAAGTGCCTGGCCCTACCTGGTCACACACTTCAGGGCTGCTCACTTCCGGCTGCTCACTTCACCGCTGCCTGTGCCAGTTCACTGGTAAGCAAACAGGCCCTGGCTCACCTTCTCTACTGCTTGGTCCCTCCACCTGCAACACTGGCCCAAGTCCCACAGAATCCTCTCTCCCAGGGCATTGTGGCTCCCTTGTGGGCTTGACACTGTTACCCCAGGGCACCTGCCCCTCTATTTGGGATCTGTGTCTCTTTCTTATTGCCTAAGGGTGGATCCTTCAGACCTGACTTGCACGTACCCATCTACAGGTGGCTTCAGCCTCAACTGCCCCATGCCTCTCTTGCAGGCAGATCATGGCAGAGTTCTCCCAGAAGAGGGGAAAGCATCGTGGGGACGAGGCCCTGGGCAGCGCTGTGGACTTCCTCCTGGCCAATGCCCGCCTGGTGCTAGGTGTGGGCGGGGCTGCTGTGCTGGGCATTGCTACCCTGGCAGTGAAGCGGGTAAGGCCTGGCTGGGTGGGACTGCCTGAGACTTCCAGAGGAGGATGACAGGGCTGGGGTCACACAGTGCTTCAGGCCCCAGGAGGGGCAGTGGCACTCCCTAAGGCTGACATTGGAATCCAGGGCAACCCCAAGCTTTGCCATGACTCCCTAGACTTCTGCTTTGTGTCACTCTGCCTACAGCTCATTGACAGGGCCACTAGCCCTAGGGATGAAGATGATGCTAAGGGGGACAGCTGGAAGGAACTAAACCTGCTCAAGGCCACACCACACCAACAGCCCCGGCCCCCACCTGCTTCCCTCAGCCAGCCTGTGTCGCTCCCAGCCCCCTTGCCCTCTGCCCCAGGTGAGTTGCATGCACCCCTTCCCTTCTGATGTGGGTAAGTTTTCCTTTGGTGGTCACCTTTGGGAGATGCAGTGCAGGCTGTTCCCCTGAGTGACTTTGCAGTCCTATGCAAATTCCTGTTCTTTCTAGGCTATGGGCTTCTAATGTTTAATGGGGATCTTGGTTTTGTGGGGCTTTTTGTTGTTGTTTTGTGTTATGTTTTGTGATGCTGGAGATCAAACCTAGGTCCTTGCACTTGGTAAGCAAATGCATACCACTGAATGACTCCCTGATCATACCGTTGTGGATTTTTTTTAGGGGGGGGCACTTGACCACTGAGCCACATCCCCTCTCCTATTTTGTATTCTATTTAGAGACAGGGTCTCACAGAGTTGCTCAGCACCTCGATTTTGCTGAGACTGGCTTTGAACTCTTGATCCTCCTGCTTGGCATCATATGTTTTTTGTCCTCATTCCTTCCTGAGTTTGCTACCATGCTTCTGTGATGGTGGGGAGCCTCAGATGAGGAAACTGAGGCTCAAGAGGGGCAGGACCTGTCTTCCTCACTCTGCATGGAGTTCTTTTAGCTGTAGGGCCAGGGTGTTGGGATTCTGGGCCAGGGCAACTTTGTTATCGAGTATTCATAGTCCTGAGGACCTAGACCTGGTATTCTCAGGTGGACATTACAGGTGAGGAACAAGGCCCAGGGCTGTCACACAGCCAATAATGAGGTAGAATTCTTTTAACTCATTGTGGCGGGGTTCTTACATGTTCCCCTGGTCCCTTCACTCTGCAGAAGGTCCCACAGATACTGAGCTTCAGAAGCCACCTCAACTCGGCTCCCCAGTACCACTGTGTCTGACGTTCCAGGAGAAGTTGCTGGCATTTGAGCAGGAACATGTGGTTATCCCAGCAGCTCATGTGGCTTTGGCCAAACAGCTGGCCGGTGACATTGCCCTGGAGCTACAGGCCTACCTGCGGAACAAGTTCCCGGAACTGCCCTTTGGGCCACTTGTGCCTGGTGGTCCACTCTATGATGGGCTGCAGGCAGGGGCTGCTGAGCATGTGCGCCTGCTGACCCCACTGCTGCTGGAGCCAGGCCTGTGGATTCTGGTACCTGGCATGGACACTGTGGCCAGGGACCCTCGCTGCTGGGCAGTGCGCAGGACTCAGCTTGAGTTTCACCCCCGGGGGAGCAGCCCCTGGGACCGCTTCCTGGTAGGTGGCTACCTCTCCTCTCGTGTCCTGCTGGAGTTGCTCCGCAAGGCCCTGGTTGCCTCCGTCAACTGGCCAGCCATTGGTAGCCTGCTCGGATGCCTGATCCGGCCCAGCGTGGCCTCGGAGGAGCTGCTGCTGGAGGTGCAGCATGAGCGCCTGGAGCTCACTGTGGCTGTGCTTGTGGCAGTCACGGGGACCCATTCTGACAACCACCTCCTCCTGGCCTGGCCCCTGGAGGGCCTGGCTGGGAATCTTTGGCTTCAGGACCTGTATCCAGCAGAGGCTGCCAGGTTGCAGGCCCTGGATGATCAGGATACTGGCACTCGCCGGAGGCTGCTGCTGCTACTGTGTGGTGTGTGCCGTGGCCATCCAGCCCTGGGGCAACTGGGCCGGAGCCACCTGACCCAGGTGGTTCTTCGTCTGGGGGAAGAGGAAGTGGACTGGGCCGAGGAGGCCCTGGGGGAGCACTTTCTGCAGGCCCTGGAGTTGCTCATCAGCAGCCTGGAGCAGGCCAGCCTGCCCTGCCACTTCAACCCCAGTGTGAACCTCTTAGGTAGTTTGCGGGAGGAGGAGATTGATAGCATTGGTTATGCACTCTACAGTGGTCTACAGGCACCTGAGGGGCTGCTTTAGATGGGGGAGGACCGGGCAGCCAGCATGTTTTCTGATATTGGTGATCAGTATCCATCTCACTCCCAGGAAATTGCAGTGTTTTTTTGTTTGTTTTTAGCCAGAACACAGGAGAGTATACTACCTAGGCCCACAGGATGGACATATTCCTGGGCTATGGTCCCTGGGGTCACTGAGCCCAGAGAGCTTAGGTAACTGTCACCTGAGTGTGACTGGGCTGCAACCACTCACTCAGATGTCCCTCAGACCTTTGGGGTGACCTAGGACCTTGGGGTCAGACCCTATCACCAGCAGCGAATCCACTGAGAATGTGTCTTCTCCATCCCAACCAGTTCCATTTTTCTGCCAAGACAGAAATTTAGTACGTTTTTTAGGCGCCTGTGCCAGGCATCCTGGAGGCATCTAAGTATCATGTGTTTGTTTCCTCCCTGGGTGCTGGAGTTACCTGGTATCCTGGAGGCCAGCATTTTGTTTTTATTTTTTGGTACCAGGAATTGAATCCAGAGGCGCTGAGCCACATCCCCAGCCCTTTTTATTTTTTGACACAGGGTCTTGCTAAGTTGCTTAAGGCCTGATAAGTTGCTGAGGCTGGCTTTGAACTTGGGGTTCTCCTGCCTCAGCCTTCCCAGCTGTGGGATGACAGGCGTTCACTACTGAACCTGGTTAGAGGCCAGCCTTTGGCTCTTGAAGGTTGGTGTTTTCCTGCTGTCTTCTGTGTTTTTTTTTGTTGTTGAATTCTCCAGCTCTAGAGTGAGATGCTGCCCATTTGATACCCTCCAGCTAGGTGAGTTTTCTCCTAAGGCAGCAGAGGCCCAAGGCCAAGGCTGTGCCTCAATAGCTGCTCCTGGGCGCCACTGGAAAGCAGAGGACACGCCTTTCCCAGAGGCCTGTGTGCTGACTTGGCCTCTTCAGTGTGCCAAAATGAACTCTCAGCAGATTCTGACCTTGTAGCCTGGCCAAGGTAGTAGGGGCTGGAAGAGGGAAACTGCCTCCCCTCCCAGGGGCCCCTCCTGTCTTTGGTGTCCTTTGGGCTGAAGCAAAGCTCTGCCTTGAAGAATGTGAGCAAGAATAAAAAGAAAAAATTCTCATGTGTGTGCGATCCTTGCTGGGAAAGGGGTCTAGCACTTTCATGGGTGGCTGTTCAGAGCTCTTAAGTCTGATGGTTTATCCCGGCAGCTTGGCAAGAGGACTTGAAATCAACTTGGAGGTGAAAGAATTTGTTTTCGAAAGTAGTGTCTTGCTGGGCATGGTGGTATATACCAGTAGGATTACTGGGTAGTGATTGAGAGGCTAAGGCAGGAGGATCACAAGTTCAAGGCCAACCTCAGAACCCAGTGATATCCTATCTCATCAAAAATAAAAAAGGGCTGATGATGTGGCTCAGTGGTTAAGCACCCCTGGGTTAAATCCCCAGTACCAAAAAAAAAAAAGTGTTTTAGCCCTTTTTGGTTGCAATAACAAAATATCGTAGACTGTATAGATGGTTTATGAATAACAGAAATCTATTTCTCATTTTGGAGGCTGGAAAACCTGAGATCAGAACACCAACAGATTTTGTGTGTAGTGAGGGCCCATATCCTGGTTCACAGATATCACCTTCTAGATGTGTCTTCACATGGCAGAAAGATGAGATAGCTTCAAGGTCTCTATAAGGACCTTAAGTCCAATCACAGGGCTGTTCCCTCATGACCTAGTCACCTCCCAAAGGCCCCACTAATGCCATCACATCCCAGGGAGGAGTTCAGCATACAAATTGCCACCACATAAACATTCAGCCCTTATGGATCCTGTGGAGGGAGAATACTGAGTGTGCCTTGGTGCCCAGTCTTGCTTTTTTTTTTTTTAAAGAGAATTTTTTAAATTTTATTTATTTTTTTTAGTATTTGGTGGACGCAACATCTTTGTATGTGGTGCTGAGGATCGAACCCGGGCCACACGCATGTCAGGCAAGCGCGCTACCGCTTGAGCCACATCCCCAGCCCCCCCCCCCCCAGTCTTGCTTTGTAATAGGAACCAACCAGTCAGGGCTCATTTCTTCCCCTAAGGCTGAGCTGCTGGGCCCTCTGGTGTTCCTCTGCTTTCCTGGATCAGTGGGGCTGCTGCATGCCCATCAGTCTTGAGAGAACTGTTTGCTCCACCTCCCTTGCCTTTCCTGAAGTCCCCAAAATGTGGGGTCAAGCAGCTGTCAAGCCAGGCATCTCAGCATCCCTCAGGAGCTAACATGAGGCTTGGTTCCAGTTACCAGATGACAAATGAGGCCTGGACACTTTCCTTCAGATATGCCAGTCACATCCTGATGTCCTTCCTGTGAAGTTCTATTTCCTGTGGAGAGCCTCCCCTTCCAGCTGTCATGGGATGGTGTAGGATGTAGGATGGTAGTGTCTGCCTCTGGGTGGTGGGAGACTGCCTCAGCCAAGGTTTATTCAAATTGCTTGGTTTGGGAGCTGCACTCTAGTCTTGAGCAGTTTCACTGGTGGTGGAGGGTTAGCAAGGAAGCAGCTGAGGGCAGAGTCTGTGCCCCCATCCTCTTCTCTATGACCTACTTCCTGGGCAGCTGTGAGGACTATCTGAGGTGGGCAGTGCTCATCTTATACGTGGCACAAGGTAAACTGCCCCAGCAGGGGAGCTTATTGGGCCTTGCAGGGTTTCCTTCTTTCCACTAATGCCACTAAACTAAAGCAGAGAGCCTTCCCAGCTGCCTGGTGAGTCCACTGGGTCATAAGATCACCCTGGACTCTGGAGAAGGCCAGAGGGAGCTGTCTGTGAAGTGAGCTCAGTTAATTTGTTTACTTGGTTCATTTATTTATACATGATGGGGATTGAACCCAGGTGCTCTGCCACTGAGCTACACTTCAGCCCTTTTCAGAAATTTTCAGAGGGATCTCACTAAGCCGCCCAGGCCGACCTCAAACTTGTGATCCTCCTGCCTCAATCACATGAGGACATGAGGACAGAACCCTCATGATCCCATCACTTCCCAAATGCCCCATCTCTCAACATCACTGCATTGGGGGCCAGGCCTTCAACATGTGAACCTTTGGGGAACATTCCAAAAGCTAAACCAGGACTTCATTTTTTGCAGTACCAGGGATGGAACCCAAAGTCTTGCACATGCCACCTAAGCACTTTACCACTGAATTACACCCCAGTCTTTTAAAAATTTTGAGCTGTGTCCAGTGGTGCATACCTGTAATCCCAACTACTCAGAAGGCTAAGGCAGAAGGATTGCAAGTTCAAGGCCAACCTTGGCAATTTAGCAAGACCCTGTCTTAAAATAAAAAGGGCTGGCTGGGGTGGGGGTATGGGGTGAGAAGGGGGGGATTTAGAGGTGTATGCCTGATTTTTCAGTCCAAACAGGACTTGCTTCAATCCAGCCTTCACCTGGAGATTTAGCTGGCCTTGAGCTTGTCTCTGAGATTTGTTGCCCCCAAGCCTGAAGGAGCTCCAGGGCACATGTGCATCTTCTCCAGGAAGGGGTGCCAGCCTGGGAGTCAAGAGGGAACTGCACCATACTTTTTACCTGTTTATTTGTAAAACAAGACCTTCAGGGTGGGGATATAGCTCAGTGGTAGAGTGCTTTCCTAGTGTGCATGAATCCCTAGGTTTGATTCCCAGTACCCAGTCTGCCAAATAAAAAACAACAAAAAACAACCACAGGAGCCTTCAGACTGGTGTATGTTTGTACCATTTCCATTTTTTTGACTATACTTTTCCTTTGTAATCTGAAAAATGCAGACTAAAAAATTAATTTGTTGCGGAAGCTAAGGTCACCATGGACTGAAGGCCCAGCATGTACTGAAGGGCAACACTCAGGACTTTGGTGACCTACTGTAGATCCTCTCTGCACTGCTCATCTGGAGAGAACAAGAGCCCAGTTAGCAGGAAGGGCAGAAACACAGACTCCCTGGCTTGCACGGATTTTGGAAAGAACTTTTCAGGTCTAGTGCACGCTAGATGGAACACCACCTCCTAGCATAGACACTGGCGTCTGAGGTAAGGGTGGGTGCAGTCTGATCCTGATATGAATGGCTAACAGGAAGCGGTGAGCAAGATTCTAATCCAGAAAACCTGGCTGCTAAACAGTACAGTAGAATCTGAGCATTTGAATTTGGCTACAACAGACATGAGAGGAATGGCAGGTGAATTTACTGCAGAGGACAGTATGGTCTTTACCTGGCAAAGTTACATGCCCCAGTCCTGCTGGGCACCACTTATTTTTAATTCCAGCTGCTCCAAGATCAGCACATACCAGGGATAGGTAATTGCTTTGATCACTACACTTGTGGGGTTTGTTTGCCCTTGTTTTCTCAGCTGTCTGTGTGGTGGGTCACCAAAGGCTGTGTATACAGAGTCAGGCTTCCTCTTTTCCAGGAGATGGCAGGGAACCAATCATGTAAGCTGTTGGAGCTCTGAGATGGAGACATGAGGTCAGAGACTAAGTTTCAAGGCAATATCAGCTGCTTGGCAGGGGGAAGAGACTTAACTTATGGGAGCCAAGATTTCCCTCCATAAAGGGACTGAAGAAGCTGCCCAGTAGAAAAATGGGAGGTTGAAACCACTGTGTGTGAAACCCTCCCTGGCTATTGCCATCAGGGAGGGTTTCACACACAGTGGTTTCAACCTCCCACATTTCTGCTGCCTCACTTTTCTTGGTGGGGCCCAGTGAGGAGGTCATTTTCTTCTCCTTGATCTTTGTTATATAAAATGCAAATAGGAAATAATGTTCAGTACAAGGATAAGAATATTTCAAACAGAAAAAAGAATCTTTCAATCCTCCTGGAGGGGAAGGGGACAGGACAAGTTTCTGGTTGCACTGAAGACTGCTACTCTGAGCGTGCCACTGAGACATGGAAACTCCTTAACAGGATTTATTGTTAAGTTTTCACTGTGATTGGGCCCAAATGTAATACTCCACCAAAGAACTTCATGTTGAACAAGAACACCCCATCACAGATGAGAGGAGCCAGGACCTGAGTAGACAAATAGGGCTGGAGGCATAGCTCAGCAGTAGAACATTTTTTGCCCAGCATGTGAAAGGCCCCAGCCACCTGTTGTGGTAAAGGACTTATGAGGAATTATCTTGACAAGATCACATGGTTATGATCTTGGTCATAATCATCATGTTGCATACCAAGTGACCTTGGCACTCATCTCAAACCCTGCGGGACACAGTTAGCTGAGTGTGGCATACTGGCCACTGATACTGGGATTGTTTCTTAATTGATGGTGGATATGTTGTTTTTGAAAAACCCAGGTATATAATGTCCCCTGCTTCTTTCTGCTTTGGGGTTTTGCTGCTACCATATATCTTAACATGCTTTTTTCCTAAGTTCCTAATAAATTATACTTTGTGCAAGCCTGGATTTGTCAGCCTTTGTCTGTGGTCTTTCAGCACCTTCTGCTTTTGGTGGCTGGTTCTCATACACTGGGTTTTTCCAAAACAGGACCTTCCAGTATTTCTCCAAAGGGGAAAAATGGGGATGTAGCTTGGTGGCAGAATGCTTGCCTAGCATGTATAAAATTCTGGGTTCCACTTCCAGTACTATACAAAAACTCCAAAGAATATATACAATGGCCAGTAAACACATGGAAGGATGGTCAATTCCACTGGTGAAATGCAAATCGTAAGTGCAATGAGATGCCACTTCATACCCCCATCTCAATGTTGTTATTATTTTTTGTTCCAGGGATTGAACTCAGAGGTGCTTAACTACTGAGCCACATCCCCAGCCTATTATTTATTTTGAGACAGGGTCTCACTGAGTTGCTAAGGATGGCTTTGAACTTGTGATCTTCCTGCCTCAACCTCCAGAGCCACTGGGATTAGAGGTATGTGCCACTGTGCCCAGCTCAATAAATTTTTTTGAATATTATTGTGTCTAACTTACAAACTTTATTGTAGCTATGTATTCATATGAAAAAACAAAGAATAGGGCTGGGTTTGTAACTCAGAGGTATAGCACCTGTCTAGCATGTACAAGACCATGGGTTCCATCCCCAGTACCACAAAAGTAAAACCCAAATAGTTGGGCTGGGGCTATAGCCCCAGTAGAGTACGTGCCTCACATGCACAAGGCCCTGGGTTTAA